AGCCCTTAAAGACTGAGAGAGGAGTGGGACAATGAAAAGCACAGTGGAAACCCAAGTAGATGTAGTCAGAGCGCCGCCTTGTGGCAGCCACTGCACCCGCAGCCCCAGAGAACTCCAGCCAACCTCTGGTATGTTTTACTCCACAGTGCGCGCTTCCACAACTTGAGTCATGCCGTGCCTCTATTCACTAGTCTTCCTTCCTTGCTCTAAACATTCGTCTTCAGGGTCCCCAACATCATCCCGTCTAATTTATTTCTAATCTGCTGCAACTGCCAGCAAAGTCCTCCCTGCTTACCTCCTTACTCTTGCTTTTCCAAACTCTTGGTCCCTAGGAGCACCCAAGTTTCCCAAAGACTCAGTGACTTTCTAAGGGGTAACTTCCTTACTTTCTTCCTAAGCGTGGAAATAAGTAAAGCCTTGGTCCTCCACTTCTGAAAATTTGCAAACAGTATTACTAAAAACCATACAGAATTTTAATGTTAGGAAGCTCTGCCTTTTCTAGAATGTCATATAGGTAGAACCATACAGTATGTAGCCTTTTCAGAACCAGACCTATAAATACAGAGAACAAATGGATGGGTGGGGGATGAAGGGTTGGGCAAAACAGATGACAGGGAGTGGGAGATACAGGCTTCCAGATACGGAATGAATAGGTCATGGTATAAGGAATACAGCTAATGATGTTGTTAATGGTGAGGTATCAGGGCAGAGGGTAGCCAGACTTGTAGTGAACACAGCATAACGTATAGATTTCTTGCATCACTATGTAGTCCATGTGAAGCTAATGTAACACTATGTGTCACTACACTCAGAAAAATAAACCCATACATTTCCTCTAAGCACTGCGTTAGTGGCGTTGTACCAATTTTGATATGTTGTATATTCATTACTTTTCCTTTTCAATATTTTCTAATTTTTCTTGTGATGTTTCTTGCCCCATGGATTATTTAGAAGTTGTCTATTTTAAAATTTGGGATGTTTTTCTAGATATCGTACAGGTCTTCCTTGACTTATGACAGGGTTACAACCTCATAAACCTGTCACAAGTTGAAAATACCACTAAGTGGAAAATGCATGTAACACACCTAACCTCCCAAACATCATAGCTTTGCCTAGCTGACCCTATTAGAACACTTACATTAGGGGCGCCTGGGTGGTTCACTCAGTTGGGCGTCTGTTTTCGGCTCAGGTGGTGATCCCAGGGTCCTGGGATGGGGCCCCGCATCGGGCTCCCTGCTCGTCGGGAAGCCTGCTTCTCCCTCTCCCACTGCTTGTGTTCCCTGCTCGTTGTGTCTGTCAAATAACTAAAATCTTTAAAAAAAACACCCAAAAAAACACTTACATTAACCTATGGTAGGAGAATACCATCTAACACAAAGCCTGATTTATAATAAAGTATTTAATATCTCATGTAATTTATTGACTGATATATCAAAAGTGAAAACCAGAATGGTCGTATGGTACAAAATGATTCTAGGTGGACCAGTTATTGACCCTTGTGATCTGACGGGGAGCTGTGGCTCCCTGCTGCTGTCCAGCATCATAAGAGACAATCAGACTGCGTAGCACTAGCCCAGGAAAAGATCAAAATTCAAAGGACAGTTTCAAATGAATGTATATCACTTCCACAACACCATAAGGTTGAAAATCTTAAGCGGAATCATCAAAAGTTGGGGACCATATGTAATTTTAATTTTATTGTGGTCAAGGAACATATTCTATGATTGCAATAATTTTATTTCGATTCAGAGATGTTTCATGGGTTGGCATACAATTCTTGCAAAAGCACTAGGTATACTTGAAAAGAATGTGTATTCTGCTATTGCTGGTTCTAACATTCTGTGAATATCAATTAGATCAAGGTGGTCCAATAATGTTCAGATTACATTTTCATTGTTTTTTCTGTCTCTTGTTGGACCATCTCCTGTAGGGTGTTAAAATCTATTAATATTGTGGAATTGTCTGTTTCTTCTTTTTAGTCTTTGTTTTTACTTCACATATTTTTGAAGCTCTGTTATTAGGCACATACACATTTATGATTATTAGGTCTTCCTGATGAATCAACGCTTTTGCCACTACAAAATGACTCTCTTTGTTTCTGGTAGTACTTTGGTCATGGGTCTATTTTGTCCAATACTAATAACCACCCCAGGCTCTCTGTGCTGTTTACACGGTGTCTTTGGGCAGCTGTAACAGAATACCACAGACTGGGTCACTTATGAACAACAGAAACTTATTTCTCACAGTTTTAGAGGCTGGAATTCTAAGATCAGGGTGCCGGCATGGTCAAGTTCTGGTGAGGGATCTCTTCTGAGCTGCAGACTGCCAACTTCTTGTATCTCCACATAAGGGAAAGAGGACTTGGGAGCTTCCTGGGTCTCTTATAGGGTACGAGTTTCATCACGAGGGCTCCACCCTCATGACCTAATCACCCCTGTAAAGTCTCACCTCCTAATACCATCACACTGGGGGTTAAGGTTTTAATATATGAATCTGGGGGGACAGAAACATTCAGTCCATGGCGCATGGTGTATCTTCTCCTTCAGCCTGTGCATGTCTTTATATTTAAAGTGCATCTCTTGCATATGGTGTACGTGGATCTTCCTTTTTTGTTTTGTTAATTTCTGCTTTTTAATTGGAATATTTAATCCACTATTATTTAAAGTAGTTATTGATATGGTTAGATTTAAATCTCCCATTTTAATGTTTGTTTTCTATATTATTTTTTTATTCTTCCTTTTCTGCCTACTTTTGGATTTTTTGATTTTTAATATCCACGAAAGACTACCTATTAGCATTTTATTTTTTTAAAGATTTTATTTATTTATTTGAGAGAGAGAGAATGGAGAGACAACATGAGATGGGGGGAGGGTCAGAGGGAGAAGGGCAGGACTTGATCCTGGCACTCTAGGATCATGACCTGAGCCGAAGGCAGTCGCTCAACCAACTGAGCCACCCAGATGCCCTACCTATTAGCATTTTAGCTATACTTTTTGCACAATTTACTTAGTGGTCATGCTAGGAATTAAAATAAATATTTTTACTTCCTCACAGTCTTTTTAGTCTTTTACTGCACTTTCCCATAAAATGCAGTAATCCTGCAATCATTTGGTTCCATTCACCAGCCTTGCCGTTACTTATGTTCGTTGTCATAAGCATTACATCTAAACAGACACACACCACAAGCCAATGTCATAATTTTTCCCTTACACAATGCGTACCCTACAATAAAGCCAATTCAACGACTTGTTATTTTCAGATACTGAATGGTTAAGTTTGAAGTTTTTTCATTTTTGTTCTTATTTATATTTTATAATTACCTGTTGAGGTTTTTCTGTTTTCTCATTTATTATGAGTGTGTTTTCCTTTACTCCAAAGTATAGTTATCATAGATACTTCAATGTTCTTGTCTGATTAATTCTAACATCTTGATCTGGCCTGTCTTTTCCCTTAATAATGGGTCATATTTTCCTGGTTCTTTACATATCAAGTAATTTTGGATTGTATCCTGCATACTATGTTTTACTGAGACTCTGAATTCTGTTAGGTCTAAAGGGTAAAGAGAATGTGTGTGTGTGTGTGTGTGTGTGTGTGTGTGTGTGTGTGTGTGTGTAAAATCTTCCTCCAGGGAATGCTGATGTTTTTGTGCTTTAGAAGTGAATTCATTTGGTGAGACTCAAACCTCAAATGGTCTCACTTGGATGTAGGCAACAGCTCAGAGCTCATCTGCTTTCTTTTGTCCTTTTTGAGGTGTTTCATGTCTGTGGTAGAAGGGTAGCCAGGGACCTGAGTTGAATCCGCACAAAAACCTAGGGATCCTTTTCTCTACCTCTCTCCTTTTCACAATTCTCTCCTCACTCTTGGGTGAGTATATTTGGCCTAACCTCTAGTTCATGGTTCCTCAGGCCATAAGCCTGCTTGGTCTCCTATCAGCACTTCGGTCACCTCATGTCATGCTCTGACTATGGCCTGTTGCCTGAGTAAAGCTGCAAAACTGGGGCACACACCCGTTGTCAGTCCTTTCTTATGTGTTCTGACTCTGCTTTTTTTTTTTTTTTTTTTAAGATTTATTTATTTAGAGAGCATGAGCGTGGGGGTGGAGAGGGGTAGAGGAAGAGAGAGAGAATCATCAGCAGACTCCCTTCTGAGTGTGGTGGATCTCACGACGCTGAGATCATGACCTGAGCTAAAATCGAGAGTTGGGCACTTAACTGACTGAGCCACCCAGGCGCCCTCAGTGTTTCGTTTTGTTTTTCAAGTAGGCTCCATGCCCAGCATGGAGCCCAATGTGAGACCTGAATCCACAACCCCAAGGTCAAAACCTGAGCTGAGATCAAGAGTCAGACACCTCAGCTGACTGAGCCACCCAGGTGCCCCCAGATTTATGATAACCAACAGAGAGATTGCTAACTAATGAATGTATGTGAGTAGGAAAGCCAAAAGTTATGTCATAGCGTTTCCAGTACTGTTAAATACTGAGAATGAATTCCTAGCCAAGAAAAGAAACAAAAATGTCACGTCTGTTAAACTTTTGTTTCAAGAAGCCTCCCCCCAGGAAACTTTATAACCTATGCTGAACGTGTAGGCTTCCTTGTCACAGAGCTATAGAAAAGGGGCTTTTTATCCTATCCAGTTTGAGCAATGCAGATTTAGTTTTTTAAAAATCAAAACTTATTTGTCATTTCGTAATGTTGAAAATATTTTTATCATGATCTCCCCATGAGCTTATAACCAGATCACCGACCTACTCACTGTGATCAACTCAGTGTTGGTTTTGCCATTGTCCCATTCTCTTTGGTTTGCCAATGAAATGACTGATAATCAATAATTGTTGGGATCACTGTTATCTTTTCTCTAGAGTTGAGAATTCTCTACTTCCAATAACATGACTAATAATTTTACACGAAGTACTTCTCTAAATCTTTTTAACGCCTTGGTACTAGAGCACTCTGATTTGCCCAGACCAGCTCTCTGAAGGGCGTAGGGAATGCAGTACTTACCTGTACTCCTTAAAGCAAGTGACACCCCTCTAGGGTGCTGCAGCTCCTCAAAGAAATGGCTGAAGAGTCCAGATGGTCTGTTGGGCACCTTGTTCCTTTGGTTTTAAGTTTCTGGTTACTCTGAATAAGTAAAGGATACAATAAATATTACAACAAACAATTGTTTCAGAATTTTAATGTTCTTACCTTCAACATCCCAGGTCCAAAATTCTAAATGCTTTTCTCCCATGGGGACAGAAAACCTCATTCAACTTCTGCCCCCCTTGGCAGAGACCATCAAAGATTTTCTCTCCTTTTAACTCTACGGTGTCTCCAACTCTCCGGGGATGGCTCTCAGGCACCTCTAGGCTTAAATGCTACGGAAACTGGGTTACAAAACTGAAAAAGCTACAGTCCCTTAGGGGCATGGGACTCAAGGCAGTGATCCCATGCGCTTTCAATAGGGTGCCCGCTATTTCCCCTGGCTGTGTTCTTCTGAAACAGGTTAACCAGTTCTTGTTATCAGACTTGGTTAGAGATTTGCATTTGAGCTATACCTCAAAGACTTTGGGATTACTACGGTGTGATTCTTTAGGAATTGTTTATGTTCAAGATAAACTGTCAGTAAGATGACCATACAATTTATCATCCAAACCTAGAAGCTTGAGAAAGGAGAAGCTACTAATAACCGTGCTGGGAAAACAGGGGTAAACCTTAACCGCCCCAGGCAAACTGGGACCTGGTTACTCCTCTTAAAACTAGTTTTTGAGAGAGGGCCCAGTGTCCCATTGTCTTTGTCAACTCTGTACAAATGGCACCTCCTCAGAGAAATCTTTACAGGATCTTTTTTCTACTTAACCATCCAGAATCTTATTTTTTACCTTGGCCTATAGAAAGAAAGCTAGACTGCTTAGCTTAGAATAGTGGCTCTATCTTTATTAGTAGAAAAATCTTGGGCAAGGTATTTAACCATTCTTTGTTGGTTTCCTCATTTGTGAACGAGGTATTAATAATGACAGCACTTACTTCACAGCGCATTGTGAGGATGAGTTCATAAATGCGAAGCTCTCGTAACACCACCTAGCCTGTAAATGCTATTTATTTAATAAATAAATAAGTTATTACTTCCTCTAAAAATGTTCTCTTTTCTTCCAGAGTCAAGTCCCAGATCAGTAAAAACATTTGCATTTCAAGTTGGTATTAGTTACTCTTGCTGCATCTACTTTTTCAAATTCTGGTATTTTGAGGAGAAAGATTTTTCACTTCAGTGGTGTCCTGAGTGAAAAATTAAGTCACCTTAAGCTCCAATTTATGCTCCAGTATTTGCTGCATTATACAATTAGCTTTTATACATTTTATACATTATATATTATACATATTATAATTATATATATGCATATATAATGTGTATAAATATATACATATTACACATTTTATACAAGTATACATTTGCTTTTCCCGGGTAGCTTTCTGGCTTTTATCTTAAAGCAGGTTTCTGGTTTCTATAGGAGGCCCCAACTTTGACACAGGATATCTTTCCCCAAATCTAGAAGCCAAAAGGGAAAATGTTTTATAAAATGACTATCATTCGGTGTCACCTAAAATCTGGATTTTTGGCACACTTTGCATAAAATGGAATGGTAATATTTTTCATTTATCTTGAAGACAGTCAAATTATAATTTCTACTTATTAGGACAGAATGTTAAAATGCTGCCTCATGCATCACCCAACGTAAAAGAGTAATCTTTGTAAACTACAGAGACTGTGTTTTCTGTATTTTTGGAGGGCACAGAAATATTATTAAAGATTTCCTTTTGATCTTAATTTTAGAATAACGTTCTTTTAATGTTTTACGTACATAAAATGTATGTAAAGTGATATGACAAAGCCTCATATACCTACCACTTGATTTATGAAAACAGAGCATTACCAATTATCTGTAAGTTCCCCTATATACCCCTTCCCCTCTCCTCCCCTCCCCTTCCCTCAGAACTTTTAGTCCAAATTTTGTGTTCATAACATTTAGGGTCTTAATAGTAGTTTAGGCATGTGTTTAACTCCCTGGACTATATATTATTTGACAATTTTTGTAATTTGTACAAATGGAATCATATTGTATGCCATCTTCTGTAATTTGCTCTTTATAATATTATATTCATGAAATTCATCCTTGATATTGCATAGCTATAATTCATTCATTTTAACTACTATATATATTTCCATTGAATGACTACACAAAAAATTGATCAGTTTTACTGTTGATATATTTAGGTTGATTCCCATTTCATCTGCTATTAAAAGTGTTATGAACATTTTTGTACACATATCCTGGTAACGTTTAAGAATTTTTCTAGGATATTATTTGGGAAGTGCTGGCTGTAAGGCATACACAACTTTAAATTTTAGTACTTGATGTCAAACTGTTTTCCAAAGTGGTTGTGCTAATTTACACTACTCAACAATGTGTAGGTGTTCTCCCATGGCTCCATATTCTTGCCAACACTTGTTATTGTGGTATTTTAAAACTTTCATCCATTGTATGCATGACATGGCATCGTTGTAGTTTTCATTCCTGTGTTCCTGATCATTAGTGGGTTTAGAATCTTTTTATACACTTGAGTTTCCTATCTGTCAAGTGCCTACAGAGGTCTTTGGCTCTTTCTTCAAGTGCACGGTCTCTTTCGTAAGGGTTGTTCACCTAGTTTAGATCGGTGGTCCTCTACTAGAAGAGAATTTGCTATTTAGGAAACATTTAGCAATGCCTGGAGCCGTTTTTGATGATTACAGGCGGGGAGCGGAGCTCCTGGCATCTGGTAGGGAGAGACCAGAGACGATGCTAAACAGCCTACGATGCGCAGGACAGCTCCCAGAACAAGGAAGCATCTGCCCCAGTAAGGTACCAGTGCCAAGGTTTTGAAGTTTTGTTCTAGATACCAAAATGTTATCAGTTACATGTATGTGTTGCAAATATCTTCTCCCAGTTTGTGGGTATTTTCACTTTTTTAATGGTACCTTTGGATGAGAAATTCTTAATTTTAACATAATTGAAGTTATCAGTTTTTTTTTTTGTATGGACTATACTTTTTGCATCTGATTTAAGAAAGTGCCCCTGTCCTCAAAATCTATTCTCCAATTGAGTGTTTTAAAACTTTTTGATTTTGCTTTTTTACATTCAAGTCTTTAGTCAACCTAAAACTGATTTCTGTTTATGATGTAAGAGTCTAAAATTAATTTCTTATATGGAAAACGAGCTGTCTGAGCACCATTTGCTAAAAATCTGTCCTATGCCCACTGGTCTAGAGTGCTGTCAAAAATCAAGTTTGAAGAAATGGACTTAATCCTGGTTCTTCATTACCACATTTCAATCTGGAAGCTAAAGTTATTTTCTCCTTCTTATAAAAGGAAAACTGAATCCCAGGAGTTGAAGGCTTTTACGAATTCTGAAGAAAACTGATGTTAAGAGGGTTTGTTGTTGTTTTAGTGTTTGCTTATATTTTCCAGAGAAACAAAAAGAAGGGGACTGGGAGGTTATTATTTTGAATACCAAGGCCAATACCTCTAAAACGGAAATGAACTCACTCATTTTGTTGAAAGTTGTTTTGATTCCCCACAAACTACATTTGCTTACAGTACACATTTCAGGAAGGCTAGAAAAGCATTTACTTTTCAAATAGTCAAAGGGAGCCTTTTCTGAAACACTTTCTTAACACCTAGCACTTAACCTTGTATATCATCTAATTCTTTAATCTAGGGGTTATAACAGAAATATCCATATTCTTTTAAAAATAATGAGAAAGGCCATTTTCCTACTGCTAAGAAGCTAGCCCTTACATAAGGACATTTGTGACTCCATCATTCCCGGAAAGGAATCCATAACTCAAAGAACAACCATACTTGTCCATCAGCCTGAGCCTCCAGCTTTCAGATCCAACTGCTCCAAAGCCTGGGGCAAGCACTGCTCACAGAATGAGGCAGAGAAGAGAAGTATACACACCCTTCTTACCCTTTATTCTCTTCCTAATGCTTTCCCTTCATTGTCATTTATCCCACGCAAGCTCTGCCCAAGTACTCAACAGCACTGAAATGGGATGATTTTACTGTAATACAAACTACATTTTGGGTGTGAGGAAAATCAGAAGCAGAAATGTAAATTCACTGACTCAGAAAAAGTAACAGCACGGAGACAAAAAGTTTCCAGAGAAAGAAAAAAAATTCAATTTCTTCCTCAGGAAAATACTCTGAAAACTATTCCCTCTCTACATTATGTCAGTTACTTGCTATCGGTCCTTAACAATATTGTTTATTTTCCTGAACACTCCTGAAATTATTATCAACTAAGAATGTAATTATTCTGGAACCTTCATGTATGGGTTTTTAGGGGGAATAAGAAGGGATTTTCTGTGGTGACAGCCCATGGTCCATGACGTCCGCTTTGGATACTTGATCACCACGAAACTTGCCAACTGATGGCCAAGCACTGATGCAGACTGTTCATGAAACACCCCGGTTGGACGGAGTGTCTCCAGCTGATTACCATGTCCAAGATCAGGTGGTACTTAAACCCAAGGAGGCTAAGAGTATCTATCAGATCTAGAGCCCTCAAATTGATTTTATCAAATTTATTAGATCTGGAGTTCTGTTTAGAACCACATAGCAGAAAGACACTTAATCAGAATCCAGGGGTCTGTATTTATCAAATGGCCTGTATATATCTGTTTCAGAAATATGGGCATAGGTGGTCCCTGGTGGTCTTTTAAGGAAATTTTCGTGGAAAAGTTACAGGTTTCCACCCCGTTTACTAACATTAAATAAGCAATTTCCTAAAATGAGCGGGCAAAGACAAACAAGAGTTGCCCCACAGACATGGTAAAGACACACAGAAATAGCACTTTCTAGTAATTTAGATGTATTCAATGCCGCAAATAAGCCAGACTGAGAAATCAACTGGTTTTGCAGTGACCGCTGGGTTGAGACCATGCGCACAGCTCTGGATTACTCACCACAAAAAAAAAAAAAAAAAGAAAAGAAAGAAAAAAAAAAAGAAAAAAAAAGTCAAAGACATAAACATGAAAGTCCTGCAACCTACAACCACCGGACACACACACAGTCAGCCTGTTGAGGGTGGAAGATTCTGATCACTCTGCGGGTTACCTGTCAAGGAAAGGGGCGCCTCTGTGTCTCCAGGTAAGGAAGCAGCAGCTGCAGTCATGGCCCAGGCTCCCGAAACCAGCCAGGTCTCCTCCCAGGGGAGCCGCCCCTGCACTGTACCTGTTTCCTTGTGCCAAAAGCTATGCCCACATGCAGACTAGAAAGCCCTGCAGGTGAAACATCACAATCACACGGACAACAATGCCAGGAGCACAGGAAAGGTCACCCTCCATATGCAACTCACACCCAAGATGCCGCCAGGGGCCTGCACCGGGAAAATGGTAGAACCCTACCCCTAAAAGAGGCTCTTCCACACCGGGTCTCCGCATACACTGGGGACAGCCAAAAGGGTGCCAGCTGGATTGTCGTCGTGATACATGTGAATAAATGTGAAACATGGTTAGTAGTTAACATTTCCACCGAATTGTTGAAAATACAGTTTTGGGTGTGGCGGGGAGGGGGTGGGGGAGCCGCATCTTAGCTTTTAACATGCCGTCACAGCATCCAGCGCAAACTTAACCAAATAGGACAGAGCTGTGGTTGGAACTGCAGAAAACCGGAAATGGGACAACTCGGCAATTGCTGCCCGCCGGGCCCAGGGGTATCCGGGTACCACGCTGGGGTACCGTGCGTGGAAGGGCTGGTCCGTCTGGGGACAGACCGCAGCGCTCGGCCTCCGCCGGCCCTGGAAGACCCTGATGCTCTAATGGGGAGTCCTTCCTGTTCCCGGACTTCGAAGCGGCGGCGCGGCCAGGTGGGAAACCACCCCGCGCGCGGTCCCCACACGGGTTCCCAGGTGGAGGGCAGTTTGAGCTCTTCTGCGGGCAGGCGTGAGGCGGCAGCGAGTCCTACAGATGAGTGGGTTCTGAGGGCAGAGCGCCGAGAACTATACCGGGGAGCGCAGCGTCCGCACTTGCCAAGACCATTTCCCGGGCTCCCGCAGCTCTGAACGCGAACGCCGCGGGGCCGCGCAGCTGACCGTTAGCCGCGGGCGGGGCCTGGGGGTCATGTGATCCGCGCCGGGTCAGAGCGCGGCGTGCGCGGGAGCACGCAGAGCCGCTCGGCCCTCGGCCGCGCGCCTTGCGTGCGCGCGCGGGCCGGGGGCGGGGCGTGTGGGCGAGCCTCCGGCGCGCTCGGAGCGGAGGCGGGGCCCAAACGGGGCGGAGGGCGGGGCGGGGCCTCCTCCTCCTCTTTCTCCTCCTCCGCCTCCACCTCCTCCTTCTTCTGCGAGGCTGGGCTGGCGGCGGCGGCGGCGGCGGGAGCCGGATGACCCGCGGAGGGGCGCCTCGGCCATGACTGCGGAGCTACACCAGGACGACGCGGCCCGAGCAGCCGACCGACACGGCTCGGTGGGCCCCGCGGCGGCGAGCGAGGGCCGGGGGTGGCTCGGGGTCCCGGGCGGGGAGGGGGCTGCGGGGCGTGAGCTGGAGCGGCGCGGGCCCCGGGCAGGCCTGCGGGGCTGTGGGGCTGCGGGGCGCGGGGCGGACGGGGGCTGCGGAGAGCACCGGCGGCCGGCTGGGCGGGGGCGAGGGCGGTGCACCCGGGGGGTGGGGGGCGCTAGGTCTTTGCAAGGCTTGGGTCGGGGGCGAGCTGAAGTTTGGGGGGAGTCGGTGTTTTGGAGAACCAGCTATAAAGGGCAGGACGTGGGGTTGTGTACATCAGGGATCTTTAGGGGGAGCGCTCCTGGGCCCTGACCTGGGTGAGAAACTTCTCAAGAGGGCCGCTAAGGTGGTTTTTAGTCCCTTTTCTGGCAGTACTGTTTTCAAGTGTCTGAAGCAGACCGAACTTACCTGACTTAAAGCAGGGATTGATGAACACCGTGTGGAAGACCAGGGGTCCTGGTTACCACTCCCTCCCTTCCCTTACCCCAGCAGCCCCCTTCTTTTTTCTTTTCTTTCTTTTTTAAATAAACTGAGAGCAGCCTGCCCGGTGCATTCATCAGTAGATTTTTAAGGAGGGAGGAGGAACAGCGCGGTGAATAGAAGGTATTCTCGTAAATGCGTTCCTGTTCCTATTATCTCAGAAGATTGAAATCGATACAAGGATTTCTGGGCTGAGTTGGTGAGAGCGGAACACTGGTTTGGGAGAAATCAAAAGGCTGATAATGCCGTGTGTAGAAACTTGGTTAAGTGGGCAATTCGAGAACGTCTTCTAATGTTACTTTGGAAAGTTATAACTTCACACCCCCTCCTCCCCCCTCCCCTGCTGTGCTTTTTCGAGACCGAATGGGAGACCTGTGCCAAGTATTCCAGTGAGAGTCTGGAAATGAGGAATTTCATAAAAATATTGACAATGCAGAGCTGTCAGCTACTTCCACGTGGGAAACCTTTTGTGCCTGTGTATTCTTTTTGTGCACACAGGAGACCCGTGGGGTGTAGTGAACCCATTTCCTTTTTAATGTCCTCCAGGTCCTGGGCTCCAAAATGAAAGTAACATGGATGGTCCTTCACGTGCTGCTGATTTCTAATGGGGATGCTCTTGTTCGGTGTCCGCAAATACCTAATGGTCTCTGAGTCAGGATTTTCTCTGGTTTCACAGGTCATTTCTATTTGTTTTTAGGACAGTGACTTCAGAACAGGTGGGGAAAAAATCGGAGTTTTGAGATAGTTGCGTTGGTTTAGAGAAGAGGCTATTTTAAGGGAGAGTAGGTCATATTTAAATATGTTGGGGGACCACGTGCCTGGTCATCAGCGGCATCTTCGTTTACCTCTGCCACAGTTTGAGCACTCTCTCTCAGCACTCGGGGTTTGTATGTGAGGTGTTTGATGAGCACTTGTATGTAAGTCATAGCTATTTTGGGAAGACTTGGAACTCGGCTTGGCTGTGGCTGGCCCGAGTACCCTGACTCTTGGCCACCTGCGGAGTGATGACATTCGCTGTTCTTCCTGGTGATTCGCCCCGTACAGACAGCCTGATAAGCTTGGAATTCTTGATAATGTTTGCCCCTTTTGTTTTTGCTAATGAAAATGCTTGAAATTAGCAGGCTAGGTTGAAGGAATCTTATCGAGGGAAAGTACCGTTTGCATCTCAGAGGAAGGATTTTAGTAATTTCCCCATCTTGATGAGTTTCATGTTAGAATGGACTCTATTTTGGATTCTCGGAGGCACTCTGCGTTTCCCTTAAAGGGTCTTCAGTTCCGGTTGAGAAGAGCTATCCGTCCAGGAAGCTATTTAAAACCTAGAATGCAGCCCTTCCCTTATTGGTCAGTGGTGCATGGGGACACACAGAACCCTTTATAGCCTCCCAAGAATTTTAGTGAGAAAAATGCAGCACCTTTGGAATATGTTCTCTAGAGTCTGAAAGAGGATACTTTGTGATGTTGCTTAACACCCCAGACTGCCCACTGGTAATTCGAACATCTACAGAGATTTCTTAACAGACAGATTTCTGTGTTTTAATCAGTTCTTGACTTAGATTAAAACAACAACAACAACAACAACAAAAAAACAACCAGCAGCAACATTTACTGTTACTGTAGGATAAACAACTTGAAGTCAGGTTGGTTCTTACAAACCTGTCCTCCTTGGCAACGGCACGAGGATTCATCACATGCTCCTGACGCTGCCTGGAGCCCTATGAAAACCTGCCAGTTTTAGTGAAAATTTAATGTCCTTTTTGCTTTCTCTTGATTTATAGGCTTTTCATTCGCATTTACCTTGTCTCGTTAGTTGTGATTTTCGGAACACCAGCCCGTTAGCACTGGGTTGGCTCTCACAACTTTAATGTCTCTTCAGCTACAGATAGTTTCTGCTCACACAATGAGTACAATATTTGTAAAAAGCAGTGACAAGTAGCGCCTTGCCAGGCAAGATCTTCCCATGTGTTATATTTCCTTGAAGGAATGTAAGTGGTAGCCAAGTGAAGCAGATGTTTTTTAAGGAAAATAATGGTGCTGGTAGTAGCAGGAGCTGACGTTAATTGAACATGTAGTATATGCCCGACCCTGTGCTCAGAACTTAACCTGTATTATCTCGGGACTTAGAGATGCTCCGTGAAGTTTTCATATAGGAAGACTTACATTTATTAAACAGTTTGCCCAAGATCACCCACCTAGCAAATGGCACAGCCAGGATAGAACTCAAGAAATTCTGAGTCTAAGAGCCCAAGATAGCTTTGATCCTACTTCTGAGTCAGTGGACCCGTTGTCTTAGGTCAGAACCTTTCTTTTACCCTCCAGAACTCTCCTGATGTTTTAAACTCAATCTTCCCTTCATTCTTTCTAAATATATAGCTTCTACTTGGCTGAGCCTGCTGCTATCAAAAGAGATGGGGGGTGTTTGTTTTTGTTTCTATAAGGAGATGTCTTATTTTTTTTGCTCTTTGTGTTTCCTCTTCATTATCTCTTTTCTCTTGGTGTAAGAGGTACCACCCTTCCCTTCTTCCTTCATTTCTTAGAGATGAATCTCGATCCGTGGTGTCTGGAGAGCTTTTTGATGGGGATTGCTGGAGGAGGATGTACTGGCCTCAGTGGGTGGAAGCCAGGAATGCTGCTGAACGTTCTGTGATGTACAGGACAGCCCCCAAAACAAAGAGTTATCTGGCCCCAAATGTCAGTAATGCTGAGCTCAAGAAACTCTGAGCTAAGTGATGCCCCTCCTTGCCCTTCTAAGTTATCTCACATTTCCTTTATTCTAGCCTAAGCCCCAGACACCTTCGTTGTCAGTGGGCTAGCAGTCCGTGGGCCAGCAGCCTCTGCATCCCCCAGGAGTTTGTTGGAAATGTAGAGATTTGGGTGTGCTGAGCCAGCTCGGGCTGCCTGTCCGTCTGACTGTGTACATCTCTTCCCAACCCTGCGTCCGGGGGCCTCTTGTTGGTAGCTTGAAATTGTCACCGTGGGAGTATTTATACCAGGGACCTAAACAGGCTCCACAAACCAATGCACCTAGACCTATTGAATCGCAGCTTGCCTTTGGATGACATCTCTGGGTGATGACTTTGAGACGCTCTTTCCTATTGTGCAGAATTCCCACCTTCCATTTAGCTATGCACGTGTCCCCAGTCCTCCAGCAAAACAGCAATGACATTGACTTCTGCCCTATCCAGTGATTGAACTTGTCCAGTCCCTTACTTCAGTTTTGTTTAC